AGCTTCGCGTGCTCTGGCGGCAGCGAAAACAACTGCTTAACCGATTTTGGGGAACATGGAGGGAAGAGTATCTTCGAGAACTCAGATCAGCGTACGCCACTCAGAACAGGCAGTCTGCGCCCATCAGAGAGGGTCAAATTGTTTTGTTAAAAGAGCCGCTTCCACGCCTGCTATGGAAGCTCGGGTGAGTAGAAAGAGTGTTCCCTGGCCGAGACTCTCGGATCCGGTCGTGTGAGATCCGAGTGCATCGCGGCACCATATTGCGAAGGCCAGTGCAGCTTGTGTATCCGTTGGAGTTAATGGAAGTTTAGAATGGACTTCCATCCATTCGGTGGGGAGTGTGTTGGAGCGTTTAAGTGTTTCTTAATAAGCCATATCACTGGCACGAGGACATCGAAGACGAGAAGAAAATCGGCCAGAGACGTCTAAAAAGGGAGCGCGTGGCAAGGAGCTGGCGGCCGGGGGAGCGCGTGGCCTGGGCGCGAGAGGAGGCTCGTGTTTGGAACGGTTGGGAACGACACGTCAGATCGCATCGCTTGCAACTTGTAGATAATGTAAATAAAAGTTTGCTTGAACGTAACCATCCACGACTACCAGAGGTTCCTACACCTACAGTTTGCCACTTATGGTTGTCAAGGGAGCCGGTTGCAACCTTCTCGGATGGAACTGGTTTCCACACCTCGGCATAGACATTGCTGGAATTAACAATGTCTCGGACGACGCGCTTGTCTCCAGACTGCTAGACAAGTACCAGTCTGTGTTCAATGAAGACATCACAGGACACACGGGTCCTGCTGTGCAACTAGAGCTTGTCGGCGGAGCAGCTCTGAAGTTCTTGAAAGCACGCTCGGTGCCCTTTGCGCTACGATCAGCTGTAGACTGAACTGAATAGACTTCAGGAGCAAGGCATCATTGAACCGACGCAGCATTCCGACTGGGCAACGCCTTTGGTCCTGGTACGGAAGACAGACGGAACACTGCGCATCTGTGGTGACTACCGTTGCACCGTGAACCTTGCAGCAAAGAAGGCAGCTTATCCACTTCCAACGGCAGATGAAGTCCTCAGCAACTTGGGAGGAAGCAAGATATTCAGCACTATCAACCTTACCCAAGCTTACCAGCAACTTCATGTTGCCCCAGAAACAGCTGAGATACTGACCCTCAACACGCTGAAAGGACTTTACAAAGTCAAGAGACTTCCCTTCGGAATCTCCGCAGCACCAGCCATATTCCAGCGCTTTATGGAATCTATGCTGGCGGGCATCCCAGGCGTCTGTGCGTACCTTGACGATGTCATAATCGGCGGAAAGGACTCCACAGAACATGCCTCGCGGTTGGAAGCAGTTCTGAGGCAACTGGAGAAGTTTAGCATCCGTTTTGGGAAAGACAAGTATTGCTTCGGAGTTCGAGAGGTCTTCTTTCTGGGACACCAAATTGACGGCTGAGGGGTTCACACGACACAAGAGAAAGTGCGAGCCATAGTGGACGCTCCAGCACCAACTTGTAAACAAGCCCTACAGTCGTTTCTCGGACTACTTGCTTTCTACGACAGATTTCTGGAGAGCAGGGCAACCATCGCCAGCTGCCTCTACGAGTTGCTCCAGAAAGGTTTTGCATGGAAATGGGAAGACAAGCACCAGAAAGCGTTTGAGCAGCTGAAGAATCTGATTCTCAAACAGACAGTACTAGCTCACTACGACGAGAAGAAGGAGCTCTTTGTTTCTTGCGACGCTTCGCCGTATGGCGTGGGAGCTGTCCTTTCTCAACACGATGACCAAGGCAGAGAGGCACCGATCGCATTTGCTTCTCGGATATAGGACCAGCAGAAAGAAATTATGCTCAGCTGGACCGAGAGGGCCTTGCGGTCGTTTTTGCAGCCCAGAAATTCCACAAGTACATTGCAGGAAGGAAAGTGACGTTCATCACAGACCATCAACCGCTGCTTGGTATACTTGGGCCAAAGAAACCGACAGCTCAAGTCCTCTCTCCCAGAATGACCAGGTGGTGCATCAAGCTGTCTACATATGACTATGACATCATCTACAGGCAGGGCAGGAAACACCTGAATGCTGGCGCATTGAGCCGACTGCCACTACCAGACAGTGATGATGAACCATGGCCACCGGGGGATATTTTAATGTTTGAAGCTCTAACAAGACCACCATTCACAGCCACAGAGATAGCTCGTCTGACACAGCAAGACAGCACTTTGCATGAACTGTACACCGCCGTTCAAAATGGCACAGTAGACAAACTCACCGGAGACGTGTTCATACCCTACCAGCAAAGAGCCGCAGCACTGGCGCTTCATCAAGAATGCCTTACCTGGGGTTCTCGAGTGATCATACCAACGTCAGCGCGTCCTCATGTACTGGCACTTATACACGCAGGCCACAGAGGCATGGTGGCTATGAAGAAATGCGCACGCAGCTACGTGTGGTGGCCAGGGCTGGATCGAGAAATCGAGGAGACTGTGCGACACTGCGGTGAATGCCAGGCCACTCAGAGGAATCCAACCAAGGCATCGATTCCCGTGTGGGAACGTCCTCAGATGCCCTGGCACACGTTACACCTGGACTTTACAGGACTAGTGCACGGCCACACATATCTTGTGGTAGTTGACGCGTACACAAAATGGGTGGAGGTACGTCATGTGCCTCATGCGACATCTGCAGCTGTCATTGATGTGCTACGAAGCCTCTTTGCCACGTTCGGCATACCGGAAAAGATTGTCTGACAACGGAAGTGCATTTGTCTCAAGCGAGATAAAGGACTTCTACACATCAAATGGAGTACAGGCTGTGACAGCAGCAGCGTACCATCCTGCGACAAATGGGCAGGCTGAGCGCTATGTCGCAGAACTCAAAAAGGCACTAATCAAAGATGCATCTGGGAGCACACAGCACCGGCTGGCCCGATATCTGTTTCGTCGGCATTCCACGGTCCACAATACAACTGGAATGACACCTGCAAAGGCAATGTTCAGCCAAGAACTACCGTGTCCCCTTGACTTGTTGAAGCCGAAAACCGAAACAGAAGCAGGGAAGTGCCAAGACACACAAGGTCAAACAGACCGCTTCTCAAAAGGGGAGAAGGTACTTATCCGCCAATTCCTGACAAAGCCAGACTGGATTCAGGGGGAAATCCTGCGCCGAATCGGCCCACGTTCCTGGCTTGTAAGATGTGCCACGGGTAACGTGCGACGTCACATAGATCACATGCGAAAGACGTCGCAGATGAACACTACACCACCACGACCGCCAGACTGGAGCACGACAGACAACCTTCTCGAGTCAAGACGACAGGAGATTGCTCTTGGAACACAAGGCGAGTCGGCAACACCATCTCAACGTCCGAGCCAGCCAGGCCAGCACCGAAGACTTCGACCGCCTGAGTCCAGACGTCCCCCAGATCGGTATATAGACTGCACCTGAGGGTGGAAGAGTTGATGTGTCAACGCTGCTGGGCTATCATCATCATCGCCACCGACCATGGGTGTGGCATTATCATCATCGCGATGACTTCGGGTGTGGCTCTAATCTGGAGCGCATACGAGGATGCGCGCTCACACGTGTGCTTGTTTTAACTGCCTACCTAACTGATCGTTTAGCTTTTATGGGTTCTTGCTTTCATTAAAACTCCGACAGCCGGCGACGGCTGCTCAGACATAACACTATTATAACTGTTTTTGTGCGGAGAATGAGCGTTTGGTGATGGTTGGTTTATTTTTGCGGTGAAAAAATCCCTGTGAATCTTAGAAAGCTAATCCTTTCATTTCATTACTGTTAGTGGTTTGAAGTTTCTGCAATGGATGACACTGCCAGTGCTTACTTCTCGGTCACACTTTCCCTTGGAATCTGCTTTCCTTGCTTGCTTAGACAACAAAATAGTTAGTTGACTCATTGCAGAGGCTACACATGCCGGACAAATGCTTCCCATGTTTTGCCTCCTCCTTCGTTTGGCTTTTAGGAGTGTATAGCCCCCGAATTGTTGGTTCTCGTCCTCGTGCAGTGCGTCTCATGTGCATTCTTCACGTAGCTGACACAGGTGCAAGCTATAGATCACATCTCTCGAAATGTGGAGAACCTGTGAAGACTCTTTGAATGCTGTGCAAGGTTTTTGAGGAGGGCGTGAACATTAGTTCTCCCAATAAGCTTCTCGCCCCGTCTGATTGGTTCGCACTTGCTGTCAAGAGCATCCCTTCCCATGCCGTAGCAGCTCGTTAGGGACAAAGGGCTGCAGTCATGTTTTGTGTGTTCAACCTTGTTAGCTGTACCCAGCGCTATAGTCGGTCCTACGAGTTGTGTGCCCTGTTGTCAAAGGCACAGGCACCAGAGCATGGCTTTGCGACAGGTGCAGCTTGTGCCGTCATTAGAACCTGTGGATATGCACTTGTGCCATTTTTCCTTCGACACTAACCAGATCTTTCGAGATGAAATATAGTGAAAGAGCTAGCAGCGAGTTTTTCCTCCAATTTCAATGTGCTAGATGGTCGGTTCAATGGGCAACCTCAACAGATGGCAATATACATGAGTAGAAAGGTTCCCCCCTCAAGTGCCTGATCATTTGTTATTCAATATGCAATTTGACGAAGAGAGCCCTTTAATTTTCGTGCTTCTGTTTTACTTTGTTCACCCCTAAGCTGACAGTGCAGTGGAAGCTGTGGGCTCTTTGGACCAGTCACACACCTGTTTTTCGTCACGTGATCACGCTCCCGCCCCATACCCATGCACAGGGGTGGGGTCAGGTGATGGAAGATGGGTGGTTAATTGGTCCGGCAAGTGCACAGCTTCCATGGCACTTCAGCTAAGAGGTGAATGGAGTATACGAGGGCCGTAAAATTCAGCCTTCCACAACTTTGTTCTTAAGTTGCAGAGAAAAATGTTAATTGTTTCTCCATTCCTTTGGTTCCAACATCTTGTGTTACGTGGGGGTTGATACTGGGAAAAATGGTGTGCACTTCGGAGTTCATATTTTAATGTGCCTCTTTTGTTTTTCAGAGCCGCACATCCTGCTGTTTCGGAGAGCAGTCACCCCAACCGAGCTGCCTTCGCAAGAAGAACAAATGCAGGCTGAGCTGTGCAGCCAATAAGCGAGCTTGACATGCAAAAGCTTTTTTTTTTTTTTTCTTTAATGTGTAAATAGTGTAATTTTTAGCATCTCTCCTTTGTGCTCTGTCATTTTGTTTTTATGGTACGCCCCATTTTTTTCCTTCCATTATTTGTCTTTTTTTTTTTTTGTCTGACTGACATTTTTTAGTGTTGTACAGATTTGTGATTAAATCTTTTATCGACATGTGAAGGGGTGATGGTGTTCTTTTTATTTTTAGAGTGCCTCCCGTATAGTCAGAATTTTAGTAGGGTATGTTGTCGGGCTAGTTGGTTCACCTTGTTAAACATGTAAAATAGTGCAAAAAAGACATTGCGCTATTTTATGTTTAACTTTTTGTCTTTTTTTAACTATTTTATGTTCAACTAAGTTGGAAGTTACTTTTTCTGTGTGTTTCACCCTGCAAGCAATGTGCATTGTTATCAAGGGTGGAGGTGCGCTAGTGCGATTTGCACACTCACTTGCTCAGGAAAAGCACTATCTGGAGTTGTGCTCATGTTGATCCCTTTTGCTGCACTGCACATAATTCTTGCCAAGTATTGCTATTCTTTAAAGTAATTTTATAGCTTGAGTTTGAAAGATGTAATGATATGCCAAAATATTTCATGAACAATTTATTCACACTGGTGGTTGTTGTATTCTAAATTACGGGAAAGAGGGAAATGCCCGTGCAGAAAATAAACGGAGCCAATATTCACACTGGTACCGCTACTAGTTGGCACATTTGAGGCAGAAGTGTCATGTGCATCAAAGCAGAATCTACATCAACGAGGTCCACAACCGCCTAATAATGTTCATTACACTCGAGGTCAACATGCAATTTGACAATATTGAGGAGTTTCAGCGACGGTGTCACCGCCCTGGCGGCCGGTCGCCGAATGAGAACGAGGGGGATAGGTTCGCTGGGCGTTGGCTTTGTGTGAATGCGTTGGCCGCGAACGTAGGCTTATAAACTTCGACAGCAACAATATTACGCGGCTCTAGTGTTCCGGTACGAGCAACAGAGGTGACAACATCTGCTACGACTAGCTACGACCACCCGCCGCAGCGATGCAGGCGTCGAAGAAGCGCAACGCGCAACCTGTGTACTACGCAGTCAGTCTCCGTCGCCCGACGCAGGTCGTTTGGCATTCAGGGCTTTCCGCCCCGGGTTCTTCGCTTGTACTTGGAACGGAATATTATTTCTTGTGATTGTGTATGTGCTCAGTGGCTGGATATGAACCTCATAGAGCAGTTCTTCAGACTCAACAGCGACTCAAAGTTGACGGCGGAGGGGCTTGCAGCAACGCCAGCAACGCTTTCGGTTGGTGCGCGGGTGTGACGACTACACGGATAAATTTTAAGATTCCTGCTAGCAAGGTGGGCCATAGTCGATTTATGTTGACACGATTTTGAGTGTAAATACTCCGTGCAAAGGCGAATCTATCGCGTTTCTAATCCACCTTTGTTTTTGTTGTTTTTAGCACGCACGACCGACTGCTAAGCAAATGCCTCTGTGCCGATTACGGAGTGAATATCTTCGGCCTTACATTGCGGAAAGCCCAATAAAAAGTCATATTCGTTCAGCGAGAAAACTTCCCTTTCGAGTGACCTTCTTTGATTGATAATTTCTCCCGTACTTAAGTGCTTTAATCAACACGGTCGATTAAGTTTGCTTCCCTAGCTAGGACATTTTTGTGCCACATGCGGCACTTGTGCTTGGCACGATATATGCCACTGGTGGTATTGTGAATTGGTTTACTTCCAAAGCTAACACTGTGACAGGTGGGACCATTCAATTTGCTAAAAATGTGATGATATTGGAATTTCGTTACATAACTAGCGTTTTACGTTTAAGATTGATAAGAAACATGCTCATGTGATGATGCATGTCTACAGCATAAGCTTTGCAGATCCAGAATGGATGTGCTATAGGCTACAGCCTCAAGATTTTTGATGGATCAAATTGGTGATTACACGGCAATAAATATTGTGGTGGAGAACTGCCCATTGACTCGGTGAGTTTTAATTGTGACCATTGGTGTGCTGTTGGCAAATTAGGTAATGGCACACCTTTTCCCTGACCATCTGGCTTCAAGGGACATTGCATCTAGATGTGCTTAAATATCTTTTATTTCAAGGTTCAGTGGACCCCTCTGCATCATTACAGGAAGGCAGTCTCAAGCCACAAGAAACAGCAGTGAATATACAATGCATAATAACAGGCACCAGTGTCCATGCGTATAGTCCGCAGAAGCAAATTTGAGCCTAAAAATGTTTTTGTTTTCTTTGGATAGTTTGCATTTGGTGTATAATCCGCAGGGCCCGATTTCCGCGCCCAGTGCATAGTCCGCCAAGCTGGTGCACTGCGTCTTTGTGCTCTTTTTCCTGGGTGGCATTTTTTTCAGAAGTTCTTCGACGAACGCCATTGAGCCTGAAGAACTGCTCTTGGGGCTTATATCCAGCCACTGAGCACACAAGCACAGAAAATAACACTCGGTGCCAAGTACAAACGAAGCACCTGGGCGGAAAGCCGTGAATGCCAAACGAGCAGCGTCGGGTGACGGCAACTGACTGCGTTGCACCCCTTTGACGCCTATGCATCGCTGCGGTGGGTGGTTGTGGCTAGCCGTAGCGAGATGATCTTCACTTCAAGCAAGAAATCTTGCCATACCATAGTCAACATATGTGTGCAAGTGTTCGACGACGTGGGCACTCTCACGTTGGTGCAGTTGTCATCAAGAAAGGTACATATCAACAATGTTGCGTGTTTGAGGCTGAAACTATGGCGCATACTTATCTATAACCTCAATTTATCGGTCTGCGGCCACAAACATTTTTGTTGACGTTGCTTAGATGATGTAAACGTTCAGGCCTCGCATTAAATGGTGTTGAGAAACTCTTCAGTTGTGTATGAAAACCTATTTTTGCCCTGATAGAAGACATTTTCAAAAGAACAGGTGTCTTCTGTTGTTACATATCTTCCAATTTACAATGCAGAGGCAAACAGAAAATCAACTGCGTACATCTACCACTTAGCATAAGCACCTTTTGCCATTCATTCTTGAGCACACTCAAATATCGGCTTGGGTTGCTCTTGTTTTAAAAGCTTTGCCCTGTTCTGTAAAAAGAAAACAGTTAAAAAAGCTTTACCTTCGTTCTCCTTCTCGCATTTAATACAGACTTGTTTATCAGTAGATCACACACAGCAGATATCACCGTGGCACATACAACTCGAATGACCGAAGAGACTATTGCTATTACAATAAGGCTTTGCACAAGATCCACAATGAGGCTTGTAGGGGTGCACAAGCACATTGAAATGAGATTGGCGCTTCCGGGGCTTGTTTACATTATGCGTAAAAACAGGACGATCGGCGACCAGCTGATCGCATTATAACACCAAGGATACCGATGTTTCGAACAGGACGATCGGCGACCAGCTGATCGCAATATAACACTAAGGATACCGATGTTTCGATACATAGAACGCAGGATAAAGACCTCAATCGTCCCTTGTATGCTGTTGTTGTCATACTTTCCATCCAACCGCTTTTTAGCACAATTAGCTAGAACAACCGAAGAGTTCGCAACACCTTTTAATGCGAGGCCTGAATGGTTACATAATCTAAGCAACATCAACGAAAATGTTAGTAGCCGCAGACCGATAAGTTTAGTTTTAGATAAAGTACGCGTCATAGTTTCAACGCGCGAACATTGTTGATATGTACCTTTCTTTGGACCCGCGTACATTGGGTTCAACTTGATGACAGTTGCACCAGCGTGAGAGCTCACGTCGAACACTTGCACACATTTCTTGACTATGGCAAGATTTCTTGCCTTCGACTGGCTTGAACACTTCCTCTGTAGCATCACGGTGGGTCTTGGTTGAAACGATGATCGTCTCGCACACGGCAACAAACAGAGAACGACACGCTTTGCTTTACTTATACGCTACCGGTCTACGGGCGTCGCAAATCTATCCCCCTCTTGTCCGCCATGTTGGATCGATCGGAGCGCCCCCTATATTCGCTGAAACTCCTCAATAAACAACCAATGTAAAACAGGTCCCAACAAATGGTGCATGCAAGACTTGTGATCAACTTCAGCACTTGATAGCGGCTTTTGTTAAAAGCAATGGAATCCAATGAGTAGTTGTATGAACCACGGAATATGCATAATGCCCCAGTACAATATATAACACTTATGGTTGTAAAGCACACGGTAACCACTGCTGAAATGTGTGTGATATGAAAAATTGCAACAGCATCTTCAGGTGAGTTCAGAGGACTGCTCAAATAGCCGGCCCAAAAGACTTCTAGCAAAATGTGCAGCAGCGCCCTCTACGACGCTGAAAGGAATTCTGGGAACCAGCAGCGAGGACAGGGGTGCTATCCTCTCGGGAGAAGCATGCAGAAAATTCCCATAATTCATTCTTTGGAGATTCTTGCAAGTTCTCTCTCTTTTGTAATCTCAGAGTTATTCCTAAAGCTGCCAACCTCCAAAATCACAATTGTAAAAAAAAACCAAAAAAAAACAACAAAAGTTTAATCTAATTGCGCATCGTTTAAGTCTGTAGCGCCACAAAGTTTGTGGCGGAAGTCTGATTTTGTCGGCTATAAACGTTTCTGTCTTTCTGGATGTTTTCTCCGCACCAGTCTTTCCTTATAGCTACATGGCCACAGTAATCGCGGAGTGGCATAGGGAGGACGGGAGGACGAGGCAGGACAGTCGAAAAAAACAGTGATGGAAACCGTGGAAACAGCCAAGAGACTCAGCACACTCCGAACCAACGGCAGAACGGGCGAATTATCCTCAAAGTTAAAGCAAGTGTCATAGTGGCCGATATATGGAAAGTTTCTTGCGTGCCAAGCGAAGCACCTCGCCTCCCAGCGGCATAAGGTAATCCGTTTACTACACATCACCCGCTCCGTAGCCACTTCCCCCTTAAACTCAAGATAAAGAGACGACTTCGTCGCATCATACTATGCCCCAAGTTGCAAGCGACCAAACATGACGGCAAAGCAGTTGATATTTCCCCACACTGCTAAATGTGATCGCCGTGATGATTGGGCTCTGCGGTGCTGTTTTTATGGCATGTCATAAGTTGCGGCTAGATTACTCAAGTAGATATAAAAGCATGAAGGGCCGGGCGATAAATGAGTAGCGTTATACAGCCTTTCACAGGAGGTCCGGAGTTATGGCGCTGTAAC